AGCATTTGTTTTGTGTTGTTACTAATTTTCCCTTTTTTTCTACTTTGCAGCAAAATGAGAAGATGAGGTGAATTTATGAATTCTGGCTTTTCTGAATTCCGAAACCATAATAAGTCAAAACAGGGATATAATTAGAAGAGGAAATACATGAAGTTTTTTTTTATTTTCTACCTTTTCATGGAGTATTGATTTATCCATTTTTATGTTTATATATGTGCATAAAATAGCTATTTTGTAATATTAAATTGTATTACAAAATTTAAAATCTTTTTGGTTATCCTATAACTTATATTCCTGCTCATTCAACTTTTTCAACGTAATAGATTTAACTAAACAATAGTTGTTAACCTTTTAACCAATAAAATGTATAATAAATACTTTTGCAGTGGTTATCTTGCTGTATATCAAGCTAACTTATTTAGTTTTGTTTTCAAATCATTTAATATATGTGAACACCTTTAAGATTGTAAAAGTCTCCTGCGCTGGTCAGTTTTCTCACCATTCTTTCATACTTTCAGAATACTTGATCCGTAATTACTTAGGTGTCAGGTTCTGTATTCTGTTTTGTGTAATCTGATGACTTGGCTGAGGGGTTAGGTTAACCTTTCAGGCTCTCTTGATTTTGGTTTTTATAACTGTATTTTAAAGATCACTTACTAGTGTAGTAAAAGTAATAAATCCTATTCATATCTGAGATCAATGAACATAGCTTATTGTATATTCAAATCACTAGTCCAATTCTACTCTGCCTAGATGGGAAAGTAGAGAATCTGACAAGTGACAGGGTGGGCCCAGAAGTCTGCATTTTTAGCAAACATTTTAGATAATTCTGGGGCAGATGTCTTAGTACCAAACTTTGAGAAAAACTGCTGTAGGAGTGCAGAGTCCCACAGAACTTACCCATAATGTCAACAATGTGGGTTGAATGGGGGCCAGAGGCTTTTTTTAAGGAACCATTGGCGCAGTGGTTAAGAGCTTGGTACCTTGGCAATCTTTGTTCCCTTTCCTATACTCCTGTTACTTATTACTCAGCCTTTGGACCTCCCAGTCATTCTCTGGGATTATATTTTTGTACCTATTCCTTATTTCTTTTCTTTTTTTAATATATTTTTTAAAGTATTACACATGTCTCCTTTTTCCCCCATTGACCTCTCCCCAGCCGTTCCCACCCTCCCAGCACATGCCCTCACCCCCACCCCCCACTGTCTGTGTTTTTGGGTTATGCTCTCATGCATGCATACAAGTCCTTTGGTTGATCTCTTACCCCCTCACCTCCTGCCTTCCCTCATAGGTTGGACAGTCTGATGCTTCTATGTCTCTGGTTCTATTTTTGTTCATCAGTTTATGTTGTTGATTATATTCCACAAATGA